CCCCCCCATTTATACTATTTTCTTACTCTTTTGCCCCTCATTAATAAATAAACAACTGCTCCCACCAATACAATTACACCAACCGCTATCAAGGCAATCACTCCTCCACTTAATCCTTTTCCTTTATCACTACTCTCCTCTTTCAATTCTCCATATTTATCTTTATAAGATTTCTCGGCACTTTGTAGGGTATTTTGTTGTAATTTCTTTAAGTAATTAGCCTGTTGTTTCTCCTCAGGAGTTAAATTATTCTGATTAGCCAATTTCTTTTCTAACTCCTTAGCATATTCTCGCCAAAATAAAACTTCTCTTTTTAAACCCTCTTTTTCTCAATCAAAATTGGGTTGCTTTCCACTATTAGAAATATCAAGTTGGGGAGGATACATTTGTATTTGAGTTAGGTTGGAGGCTTGTTCCCAACTTAATTGCCGATATTCAACATGACATTTAGAGGAGCAAAAAGCCTTATGGATTTCGTAATCAAGCATTCAGCCCTTATCCATATCAGGTCATTCTGTTTTCTGACAATTAGGGCAAGTTTGAAAGTGTTCTTTTTTAAACTCCTCCGCACACTTACTATTTCCTTTTTTAACGGAATTGCCATAATCACCATCGATACAGAAATAATTAACTGTTTTGCGGAAATCGGTGTATCAGTGGGTTATTCTTTTGCGATAATAACCTGAACCATTATCCCCTTTATCCTTTCAGCAGGAGGCATGACATCTTTCGCAAGTGTATTTGTTGTGTTCTTGGGTTTTATCCCGGCGTTCCTCACCTAATAATTTATGGTGGCAATTAACACAGATTTTTTTACCTTTATATTTTATGAGACATTCTCTAAAATCAGCATGACCACACTCATCGCACCCTTTACATTCCTGACAAAACTTACCTAATGAACCAAGGTAGACAACTACTGGTCTAGTTTTACATTTATCGCATTTTCTTTCTTCCCCGTTTGGTTGCTTCCAATTACACTGATTACAAACAAAACTACCTTTATCTCCTCCTCCCGCTTGTCCGTTGTCTAAAAAATATCCTTTACATTTAACACACTGAATTTGGTTCTCCCTAGCGATACAGTCGATACATTTTTCTCCATTGGTTCCACTTTTGCCACATCCAGGACAACGGCTAGCCGCATCTTGTTCTCTTGCTTCACAGGCTCGACAACAAAGGTCAATGTAATCAAGTTTTGCCCCACACTTACGACACTCATTTCTAGCATCTCTCCTCCTACATTCATCACAAGGGGGAGGACTATCTAAATGAAGGGTGAACTTCTCACACCCAGGACACTTCTTTCTGCTCTCTCTCTCTCT